ACAGACTCTGATTCTGACGGCTGAGCTGCCGCCCGAACACTTATAGGGGCCGATGAAGACTGCGCCCCCCACCCGACAACCACACCTTGCTTCACGAGCTCTGCTGCTCCTCCTGCGCGCCTAGGACCGGTATCACGAGTGTCGGCGGGTAGGGGGAAAAGAGAGGAGCGAACATCCGTTCACTGTCTCCTCCCTGCTGAATGGAGCCGATACTGATTGCATCACTTCCAGTTACTCAGCTGTAATTCCTGTCTAGATAAGCTGGGGAAGAAGCTATTAAACCGTGATCTGCACTCCAATAGCTTATTTGCAGTGAAAAGGTGATACTAGGGGTCCTGTACAGTACCTGTCACCACCTAACATGCTATCACATAGGGGGCTTGTGAGCCCCCATGTGATAACAATGAATTAAAGTAAGAACAGGAGAGAGGTGGCAGGGGAAGAGATTGCAGGGGAAGAGCCAGGAGGGGGATCAGTGCACACAGAGATGATGGGACAGGAGAGAGGTGGCAGGAGAAGAGCCAGAGGGGAGGTCAGTGCACACAGAGATGATGGGACAGGAGAGAGGTGGCAGGCGCTTCAGACTGACCAATGCAAACCTGGAAAAGCAGTTGCAAGTAGCAACACCAATAGCAGCTACCATCACACACCTCACCAAAGAGAAGCAGTTCCAGCCATCACATTAGGGGTGAGTTAATTAAATGTTTGACCCAATATAGCAGGCTAATTTTTAAGTTGATAATTTTGTATGGCCCACAAATGATGTTATAAATATCCAAATTGCCATTGGCAGAAAAAAGGTTCCCCACCCCTGCCCTAAAACAACATAGTCCTGGCTGGCTCACATTCAGGTATTATTTTAGTTATCTGTAAAAATACTGTACATTATTTTTTTATGTCTAAATTGCTACATTAAATAGTGTTTAATATCTTAAAATTTATATTAAAAAACCAAGGATTGGAAAAATAATCTGAATAAACAAATATTTTAATTTCCCCTAAACTTCTCAAGAAATTTAAAGTGAATGGAGGTCAATGCAAAAAAAAGCTTTTTTATCTAATTAACCAAATTTATTCAAATAAAGAGCAATAATACATATGCAAATTAGCCATAAAAACATTATTCAGGTATTATTTCCAAACTGTGTATCGGAGACCTTATAAGAGAATTCCTCGCAAGGTAAATACTACAATTAGCTTTTCACAGAATGTATACTCATGTCCCACCGCTCCAAAACTCCAATCTGATTCCCAAATAGCTCAGGGAACTTCGGGTGCAAACCACACGAGCCGATCATACTTTTAGGTCAGGTCAGTTTATATATTTACAGAGCTATGTATATGTCCCTATGATTACACAATGTGTTAAAGAAGTGAGGTTTATATACACACAGTATGTTTCTGCTTACGGCAGGTTCATTAGATGAACATATGTGAACTTGAGATCTTTTCCCATCCACCCCCATCTCTACGAGTAAGGCCTGGTGGGGGGAAATGCGTTAGAGGGTGGTACTTAGGTGGGGGTTGCTTTATTCCAATAAAAGCTTATTGGACCATTTACTTCTCATTTGTTCTGGAATACGCATGCAGCAAAGGTAACATACAGTAGTTCCAGGTCAATGTTAAAGCCACAGCATCAAAACGACAGCAAAGCCACTATCATTATTAGAAGGGGGCCAGCCTACATAGTTTTCTCTTAATAGATTACCTTTACAATGATCTCCCAATGGTTTAACAGGGCTTTACAATCAGAAGCTAGATCTATAGGGTTATTCACAAAAGGGTGAAGAGTTTTGGAGAAGGCAGAAGAAGTGAACAATCTAGGACAACATAACTGAACTGGAAAGTGAGCTGAATTGGAGAATTTTTCCAAATCAGCTATGTTGTCCTAGATTGTTCACTTCTCCTGCCTGCTCCAAACTCTTCACCTTTTGCGACTAACCCTGTAAGTGTATAGTGTGTGCAATGGCTAGTTGACTTTACAATGCACAGGGGCCATATAGTGTTGTAGGCATACTTCTGATCCTGTTACATGACGAAAGTTCACATAGTAGTTGTTATTTTTCTTCTAAGCAGGGCAGGCCATTCGAAACAAAAGCCAGACACTGTTAACTGGCTATAGTGCTTTTTTTTGACTGAAATTTGTGATCCGTCTAAAGTTGTCTTTTAAGCTCCCGTTTGTACCTGCGGGATTATACAATATTTTGATGTTCGACTTTTTAAATGAATGGCAACCAGCTATGGGTACATCACATGGTGTAATGCAAGTTCTATTTGTGAATTCAATAGCACAATAGAAATGCTATTGTTTCACACGGCATGCTATAAGCTATTGTGCTGCAGTTCTACCCCTGTAGTGAATCATTACAATGTAAAGTGGTTCAAGAGAGAAAAAAGTACATAGGTTTAAATGTTGCCGATTTCCAGACAAACTGATTTATATTCATACAAGCTCTAAGTGAATTCTGATTAATATGTTTCCTCTGTGATAAGTGTATTCTTTATAACGGTAAATTCAAAGCCTGTTGCCACTTGGGCTTAGTCATTTTGTATTGCTGTGAAGCTTTTTTTTTTCTCCTATTTCAACATCCTTTTAAATATTCTCTATGCAAACAAGATGTTTGAAGCTGTTCTTCGAAATGTTTTGTGTGAATTTTAACCAGATTCTATTCGGAGGGAGCAGCACTCGTTTTATTACCGAGAGTAAGAGATTATTATTACTGATACAAAGAGCAAGGTTCTTACCGCATTCCGCTCGAATTGTATATAACGTAAGAATTTTCTGCTTTTACACTGAATGAATTGATTAAAAAAAAATTACATCAAGAAAACTGCAACAACAACCCTCAAGCCTCATTGTTTCATTTGCATTGTCCAACTTCATATTGAGGGAGAATTGTTCTCATTTTTGTGGTAACATTGGGACTAATGATTCCAGAAATGATTGTATGACATGTTTTGTGTTTTAGCAGCAAACAATTCCTGGATGATCATTCTTAGAGCAGGCCTAAACTGGTAAGAGCGGACTCTTTGTATTTTTTTTTGGCCAGTTCCGTATCGTTAGGGTTGTGTGCTCACTCCCTGTGAAGTGCATTAACCCCTTACGACCAGTGATGTACATAGTAGGTCACTGGCCTCGGGCCCATTTAAACAGACTCCCGGCGGGACTCTGTTTACATTTGTAAAGCCGCCTGTCGGCTTTACAATAGAATTGATTCTGGTGATTCGGCTGTCCCCAGATTGCTTCTACGGGCCGGTAAACTGCCCGTACCGACACCCCCACTGTGTTTTCCGGGCTCCACTGCCCCTCCTACGGGTCCGGGACCGGCAACTTGGGTGTCGGTGGGAAGCTGGGGAGAAGAGAGGTGAAAGTCCGTTCACCGATCTCTTCCCCGCACTATGGGACCAGGAGCGATGGAGATTACATCACTTCCGGTCCCATAGCTGTCATTGCTGGGCTCCTGAAGCAACTTGGGTGTCGGTGGGAAGCTGGGGAGAAGAGAGATGAAAGTCCGTTCACCGATCTCTTCCCCGCACTATGGGACCAGGAGCGATGGAGATTACATCACTTCCGGTCCCATAGCTGTCATTGCTGGGCTCCTGAAGCCGAGCAATAAGCTATTGAAATGTGATCTGCACTTCAATAGTTTATTTAAAGTGGAAAGGTGACACTAGGGGTCTTTTGGACCCCCAGTATCACCTTAAAGAGTAACTGTCACTGCCAATATGTTGTCAGCAGCAGCGGGCAGGTGCAATAGCCAGCCTGTTATTGGCTACTGCAATTTGAAATATCCAATAGCAGGCTGGCTATAGCTCCCAGCAATTAAGTACAAAAAAGTTAAATAAACTAAAATTAAAAATACAAAATTTTTTACAAATTTATAAAAAGTTAAATAAATAAAAAGTAACAATTGGAAAAATAAAAAAGTTAAATAAACTCAAATTAAAAATACAACAAAAGTTTTTAAAAAATAAAAAGTTGAATAAACTAAAATAAAAAATCCCCAAAAAAATTAAGGTACCCAGCCCCCCGCAAATGCACGCATTAAAAAAAAACAAAAAAAACGATGGCAGACGGTATGGATGATGTGACTGTTGGTGGAGCCAAACACAGCCACACAACTTTAAAAAAAAGCAGTCTGTGGGGAGAAGAACTCTGCGATTCAGGTAAGGGAGGGTTGCAATTTCACCATGTTACACCCTAGTAATGTGCTCCAGCCATTCTAGCCATTACCCTACAGCTGTACCTGACTAATATAAACATCTCCACAAACACTCACAGGGTTACTCACAAAAGGGTGAAGGGTTTGGAGGAGGCAAGAGAAGTGAACAATCTAGGACAACATAGCTGATTTGGAAAAATTCTCCAAATTCAGTTCACTTTCCAGCTCAGCTATGTTGTCCTAGATTGTTCACTTCTCCTGCCTTCTCCAAACTCTTCACCCTTTTGTGAATAACCTTGTCAGTGTTTTTGAACTCCTTCCATCATGAGAATATCATAAGAGGAAAGCTAACATCATCTGTCAGACGTGGAATAAAAATAACCAGGATTATTAATACATGTCATACATGTCAAGATCCTAGACTGAATCTCCAGGATCTTTCATTACATGTTCACAGACCACTTGTTTCATATATTTGCCTTCAATGTAATGAAATGAGTTCCTAGACATGACTAGCTTTGTAAACTGCATATGAGAAATCTAATTGAAAGGATTTGATGTGTGTGTGTTTGTGCAGCATATGCATGTGTATATGTGTACATATAAGTGTACAAAGCTTGCAAGATGGATTTAAAGCATTCATGTTATTCAATAGTCAAATATTTATGCATGCACGTGTGCTAAAAAGTTTAATCCAAAATATGTCGCTAATGCTGCTGACAAGTGTCTAACTCTCTTAAAGGAAAATGTTACTTTCACTACATTTTTATTAAAGCACAACTCTGGGCTCCCCTCCCACTGGCAGTATTTTATGTTTTAGTTTGTTTTAATACTTACCTCTTCTGAAGCCTTCAGGGCATCTGACACTGCAGGTTCCTCTTCTCCAGACTGGGCGGTGCTTATGGATGAGAGAGCATTGACCACTTCACTGTGAATGAAGGGTGCCATGGTGACTCTCCCCTCAGGAGCCCTACACTCATAGTATGGGTTCAATCTGTTAGATTGGGTGACATTAATCATCATTCAACTCAGAAGTCTGAGGACATCTTATGATGAAGAAGAGGTGCTGCGGGAGACATCTTCCGATTGGAGGGGAGTATTGCAACCTGAGCCGGAAGTAGAATTTTAAGAAATAAAAATGTATCCCAGAGTCAGACTAAACAATATAGTTCCTATGAACATTTACCTTTCCATTTCTATCTGCAGTCACCAAGAATTTGCAGTGTAGCAACCAATATTTATCTAGCATGAAAATAACAACAAAAGTAAAGGGCACAGGAACTGTAATTTAATTGGGGGGTGAAGTTCCTCTCTAAGCTAAGTGAACATACAAATTCCAAAGTAAACATTCATTTAGCCAAGTTAACAGTCTATAGTCCTTTAATCAACCCCATTTTTACAATATTTTAAACCGGGTAAGGACCAATAAAACAAAAAAAATACTCTGTGTAATGGGACTGTGCCTAGGGTTGCATGCCTACGCAGTCCAGTGATGAAATCCAGCCCTGCCTATGTGAATGAGCTGCAAGTCAAATTGGAAGCAAATGGTTGGTTAATGTTGAAATACTTTTGAAGACTCTTTAAGGCTAAAGAGATGCAGACAAGGCTCTTTTTCCTATTACAAACATGACAATGCTCAGGGGGCAGTAATGAAGGCACACCTTCCCACTCTTCGCCAGTTTGAGAAAGAGCATGACGAGGCAAACATACATATGTAATACCATTCTTGCATGGTACTATTCGTGAAAATGTAAGTTTGTTTATGGGCACCATCTTCATTTTGAATTACTGTTCATTTGATTCATAAGGTCTGTTTGGGAACTTGCTAAAGTTATTATTCCCAAAACAGCCTACATTTTGTTTTTCTTGGAGAATAAATCAGTTCTGCAGTATTTGCAAGAGAGTCTCCTTCTTCCTGTTGCATTTCCATAGTTTACAATAAGAGGAAATGGCCATGGCATATGGGCAGAGGGGTTAATAAAGGTGCAAGTATATTACTGCCAAAGCTGCGGAGAGATATGAAATGATAAAATATGTAAGTCTTTCCAGCCCAAGAATGGATTATTTGGCAGAGTGCTGTATTTTTAATATGAATTACAAGGAATGGTAAATTGAATAATTATGCAATGGTAGCAGTAAAAGGAAATTTTGTACATCTGGGAATTCCCAATAGTAGTAATTGTTGATTTATCATTTTTTGCATGGACAATACATATACAGTAATTAAGTTTTAGCATTTTGTGCTGAGTTCATTTCTAGATTTGAATGTGTTTCGTTGGAGAATATTTTCAGCAGACATTGAGTCAGTTAAATATACAGTTGAAATACATATAATAATTTGTTTTTCTGTCTACCCTGTGGTGACAGTTACCCAGCCCTGCCAGACAGCATAGTCAGGTTGGTGACCTGACTTTACTTTACTGTAGTAAAGTTAAACAGCACAACTTGGTCACCTCCTTCTGCTTTCTCCACCTATCAGCATGATCCTTGCATGCTATACAGCTGTTTGGCCTCTAGTACTGCTCAACCCTCATCCTAAATGGGCTCCGCTCTACAGGGGATGACAAGAGGCTGATACCAAGTCAAATTCTGGCCCTTATAATATCTTTCTTAAAAAAAATGTTAAAGAGCAACTGAAGCCATACATCTTTTTTTTAGTTTTGGATAGAGTGAAGAGGAATTAGAACACCTGTCAAGTTTTTATTGCCGTCTGTACCCCTGTTAGGTATATTCACCCTCTCTATTTTGTCTGGTGACCATTATCACTTAGGCCTCATTGCTGTACGTGCCGGCCTGTATGTGTCGGCCTTTTCACGTGTGAATGAGGCCTAAAAGTGAATCCTAGATTTTGGAAGTGAGGGGAAATCTCCACAATGGGACACGTATGGCAAAAAAAGCTGACAGGAGTTATAACCCTCCTTTACACTATCCAAAACTTAAAACATTTTTTTTAAATCAAATTTACTAGTGAAACAATTGCCATTTTCTGTCTGAAGTTAAGCTTTAATAAAACCAGTAAAATCTAGATGTATTTGTCCACCAGATTCCATTCTAGAGTCTCTGTCATTTCTTATTTTATATACCGTATATACTCGAGTATAAGCCGAGTTTTTCAGCCCATTTTTTTTGCTGAAAAGTGCCCCCCTCGGCTTATACTCGAGTCAGCGTCTCGAGCTGGTCAGGTTTCTTCTTACTTACCTCGCTGAGCGTCGCGTCACTGCTGCTCCGGTGGGCGGCGCTCCGAGCGGGGTCAT